ACCCCTGGTTTAGCTGTAATCTGGAGAACAGAATACTGAAGGAATACATGACAACATGTCTTTAAGTACACAAAAGTTTGTTACAAAGAGTAGTATGATAAAATGTTCTCTTATCCACTGAGGACAGGACAAGAAGCAATGGGCTTAAATTACAAACAAGGGAGATTTAGGTTGTATATTAAGAAAAACATCCTAACCGTCAGGGTAGCTAGGCACTGGAACAAATTACCAGGGGACGTTGAGGAATCTCCATCGCTGGAGGTTTTTAAGAAAAGTTGGACAAACATCTGTCAGGAATGGTCTAGAGCAGTTTTTCTCAACCTATTTATCATTATGGGTTGTAGGTTGAGAACCACAGAGCTCCCCCCTCCCAAACTTCCCCACAGAGCCCAAAGAATGAGCCATAGAGGGGGCCAAGGAGGTGGGAAACAAGGGCAAAAGGCATGCAGCAGGGACCCCAACCTTGATACTCATTGCATGGGAGCCCCCTGACTCCAGAAAGACCCTGGATCCCAATTCTGCCAGGCAGCCATCACCTGCAGTGGCAGGCCAGATTCTAACCCTATTGTGCAGGGCCAGGACGCGGCCAGGACCCCAGATTCCCCTGTGCAGGACCAGGTAGCCTGGACCCCAGAGTCATTCACACAGGGCAGAGGGTACGCTGGAAGCAGCCTAGACCCTAAAGCCCATCAGGCCGCAGAGCAGCCTGGACTCAGCCCAGCAGCATTTAGCACACAGCTGAGCTAGGCTGCAGCTGTGTGCTAAATAGCCTGCATGTGGCTCATGCACCCTGGGTTTAGAACTGCTGCTCTAGATAATACTTAGTCCTCTCTCAGTGCAGGAGTCTGGACTACTGAGGTCCCTTCCGGTTCCACATTTCTATGTTTTTGAATGCGAACATGTCAAGATGCACTTGAGAGAGCAGATTTTGGCCTCTGAAAATATTTTTATGCTATTTGAAGTTTCAATCCTAGAGAATGAAATTAATTCCAGGCCTGTGGGCAGTCCCACTGAGGTCAGTGAGTAAAGGCTACTCCCAGTTCAGTGGTGCAGGATTTATACACGTGCCTTTATCTGTGCCATAATATGTAATATTGTGTAATTTGTCCTGCCTTACGGAGTACTTTTCTCTCTTTCAGGTACTTCAATTTATTGCTCACACAGCTTCTGACTAGCACTTAGATCCAGGTGGAGAAAAAAGTATTGTGCCACATAGAAGCTGATCATTATTTACTTTCCATGGGCCTTTCGCCATACATTTGAAAAGTGGTAAAGAGAGATTCAATCAGATGACTTCCAATAACAACAAATATTTTGCTAAAACTCTGTATAATTCATTGAAATGCAGAGGTTAGAGTATCAGGTCAGAACTGCTGCCAATGCTCTCTTGTTCTGCTTGGCAATGTTTTCAAGACAAAGCTGATAGTTATGCTGTAACCTGAGAATTTGCCTTACAAACACATAATGATTTTGTAATTAGAACTGAAGCTCTTAATCTTGTGCTTGTACCTTCTCTAAGGCCTGGTCTACACTAGGACTTTACATTGACTTTAGTAGCATATGGTCAATTTTCTAAGTGATGCATCCACACTGCCAACTCTGTCAACTCGACCTTGAGGGCTGCTGAAGTTGATTGTAGTACTCCTGCTTTTCACCATGAGTAATGCTATTTCCAGCCTTCAATGTTCAAATTACTCCATACCACGGTACACATGGAGATGACTTTGAACAATCCTACCAACACTGACAACTTTGAATACTTCTGTTCCCACGGCCTTCAGTTCCCAGGGGCACAGAAGAGGGCCAGCGTGGAGTGTCCAGGAG